AGAGGTTGTCTCCTCCTCTTCCTCCTTGTGGTCTCCATTTTTCTTCTTGGCATTGAGAAACCGTCCGCCACATCCTCTTGGCCGTCTTATCGCATGTAAATGCCGAGATTCATGCATGTATGGCTGAAAACAAGAAATAAGAACATATTGGTAAGGAATCTACCAAACAAATTACAGGTTTTACCCGCCAGGATTTTACCTTCTTTGCCTTGATGGCTCTGTTTCGTGCCTCAAGTTTTGCCCGGGATTGCCTGCGCCTGAGTATACCGTGGTATTGCTTTGCGTTAACAAAAACAGGTTCCTCGACTGCATCGCATTGCAATGGAACTCCTGGCTGTTGCATTCCCATTAACTGCAATTGGACCTGAAAAAAAAACTTGAAAAATAAGCAAAAGCTTTTCTATATATTTAGAACCCGGGACATCGGGGCTGAGTAATAATACATACCCCAGGATAGGGATGTGGAAGATATGCTTGCTGTGAAAAGATGCTTCTGTAGTAAGGATCTGGATACGGGTATAGCCCATGTGCCTTCAATACCAACATACACAAAAGCAAAAACCATATTATCTCAATTCTCAATTAGAAAAGGTTGAAAAGCTTAGCATCACTTTGAATCAATACTATCATTACACTGCATCTCAAGTCTGTTTTTCAAAGCAATCAAAGTTAACATTCGTACGAAGTCTAAAACTGCAGAAAGGCGATGATGACAGGACTTTCTTGCTTGAATTATCTCAAACAATCAGATTTTGACATTGTAAGCATCAAAACAAAAGCTTGTAGCATTGAAAAAGAGAGATGTTATAAACAAAGGTAGGAGAATCACAATCAAACATCTTATAAACGAAAGCAAGATCACACAAAACTAAACAAATCATCTTATAACTGAAAGCAAGATCACATTCTTGAGAATTTGGCTGAGGAAATTACCATGGGCTCTGAGTAGACAGAGTTTGTTGTATCAATAGATTCCGAACTTCGTCCTGAAGGAATCTGTGGTCTTGTTTGGGAATCTGGACGTTCTTTCTTCCCATGACTTTCATTGTTATCTGACCAACCAAACATACCACCAAGAATCAGTTAGGGAAGATAAACATTAAAACGAGAACATAATGGAAATGATCAGAAAGAGAGACAAAACCAGAGAGCTCATGTACTGAAGAAGTCATGATTCATGAGAAGACGGTCCTAGTTACAAGTCTGAGTAACAATCAACTGAAACAACAACAAAGCTCAAAAGTCAGAATTCACTAAACCAAAACCCCAAAATCATAAAACGAGATTCCAGTCAGTTTTCGAAGAATTCAATCACAACCCTATAATCTAAACCAAAGCAAGAACATAAAAAAGCCAAATCTTAACCTCTAATATCACAACTTACACAGCAAAAGCATTTTCCAGTAAACGAGATACAGAACCAAAAAAGGATAGAACTTTGAAAATCTGGTGGGAAAAAGACAAAAGAATTTACCTGAATTTATAAAAAATATTAAGCTGATTCAATCAATCTCTGGATCTTACCCTCAGAAAATCGTTAAAGGTCTCTCCTTTTTTTGTTCTTAACTAAGGAAGAGAGACAAAATGACGACTAACAGAGGCGGCCTAAACGGCTAGACCCAAGAGCGGACACACCATGTCGTTTTTCAGTTCATAGCCTCCTTACACTTCAGAGCGTCCTTCTCTAACATTCATAAACATCATGCCGTTTCTTTGTTTCCATGCACACTGTTGTGATAGGTCAACTCAGAACCACGAAAATGGGTAGGAATGGAAAACGACACGATGTGCAATAGTGAAAAGGATGCATTACAATGAGGACAAGTGGCGAAACAGCGATCGAGATTGTAGGAAAAGACGGGCAGATCTGAAAAGCTGCCCGAATATGTTCTCATTTGCTCGACTCCACTAGTTTTGCTTGACCCTACTTGTGTCTGTTGCCCTCACATACATCTTTCGTTGTGACTCATCAAAGAAGCGTCGGTATCGAAACCGAAGATTCCGTTCGCTTTTGGTTATGTTCGAATTTCAGAGACACTAAACCAGCTTTGGTATTTGGGTTTAGTTTGGTTTGACTTCGGTTCAGAGACAAAACAACCTTCTTAAACGAATGAGTGACTCATATAAAAAACAGTAAACCTTCCATATATATAGTTCCATAATAAATCTCCTAAACTGTACAGTAGAACCTCTTTAAATTAATACTCGATAAATTAATAAACACGATAAATTAATAAATTTGGCCAGTCCCGAGTCGGGCCAATGTAAAAATTAACCAAATTCGATAAGATAATAAGATAATAAATTTTTTGAAATCTTTATGTAAAAATATAGTCCCAATAATATCATAAATTAATAATCATGTAATTATATATATATATATATATATATATATATATAGTTTTAGTGTTTTTCATAGAAATAGCCAAAAAATTTTGTAAGTTTTCAAATTTTGAATATGCATAATTTTTTTTTTAATAGTCGTATATGTTTTTAAAATACAACAATGGATGTCTTTGTGAATTTTAATTTATGTATATCGTTTGTATATGTGAATTCTATAATCGTTGTTATTCATTGTCAAAATAAATTATTTTTTTCGAAATATTAAGTGTTTAAGGCTAAAACTATAAAATTTACAACATCCAAAACATTAATCTTAGTTAGATCACATTGCTTTAGCTCGTATTTTTTTAAAAAAAAGTTTTCACAATTGAAACAAAACTTTCTATAAATTAATATAAATTAATAATTATTAATTTATAGATAAATTAATATCACTATAAATTAATAAAATATCATGGTCCCAACATTATTAATTTATAGAGGTTTTACTGTAGTTGCTAATTGCTACTTGTTTGACTCGAAAATATTTGAAAACTACACTTATATATGTGTAACGTCTTTGAACTTATCCGAGGTTAAGTCCCCCTTAAATCATCTAAATAATCAGAGACGCGACTATGATACTTTCATTAGAGATAAACATTGTCAAATTAGGCTTATAAAATCATTACGAGACGTCTTTGCCTCTTTGCAATGAAAATAAGTGTATAAGTACAAGTATTCATGGCGAACTCCTGGTTCCCTAACTCTCTCGTCTCCCCTCCGGCTACGGCTGGTAGTCTCAACCGCCCACCGCCTCTTCCTCCTGACCCTCCTGATCCTTCTTCTCCTTCTGACTTTCCCTCTCTTGCTACTGGTCGTCTTCTTCCTCGTAAAATCTTTCACAAATCTCAAATTGTTTCTGCTCCTGTAAAAGTTACTTCTCCTACTAGTGAGTCCTTCCCTCCTCCTACTGAGGTTGTTTCTGTGGCTCAGCTTCTGTCTTCTTACTTGGTTTCCTCTTCAAATTTGTCTCAGAACCCTAGATCTGGTACTATTCCCACTGGATCTGAAACTGCTACAGTAGCTACAGTATTTTCGGAAAATTTGAATTCTTCTACTACTTCCACCATCCCTTCTCCTCCTTCTCAGTCTCTTCCTGGTATACTTGGGGCTACTCCCGCTTCTTTTCCTCAATCATCCATCCCTCCATTGCAAAGTTCTAAACTTGACTATGTTGTCATTAATGGCTCATCCATCTCGAATCTTACCTCTCTTCCTCCTATTTCTAACCCTAACCCTCCCCTTCCTAAAGCTGCTACTGGTCCGCCTTCTTATGCCTCAAAAGTTAAACCATCTGTGGATAAATCCTTGAAAAGGTTGTCCCCTGTCTCATTCTCTCCATCAGGGATCCCAAGAGTTGAAATTCCTGACGAAGTCTTTCACAAAGGGGCTGAACTTCATAAAGATTTTCTCATCTGCAGATTTTTTGGTCGGATTCCGCCGTATCACCTAACTCAGAGTGTCCTAAACTTCATGTGGGGTAAAGGAAAGCACTTGGAAATCCATCTTTCTCCTGCAGGCAACTCAGTTCTTGTTAGACTTCCAAATGATTACATTAGACAGAAAGTTTTAGAAAAGAGAATTTGGTATGTGGAAACTACCATGTTTCATGTGTCATAGTGGTCTGCTTCCTTGGATAACTCCTCTCCTTCTCTACAGCGCATTCCTCTTTGGGCTCACCTAAAAGATGTTCCGTTTGACCTTATCCACCAGCAAGGGCTTAGTCACATTGCTGGCCTCATTGGTGAACCTATAGAAACTGATGATTGGACTATTAACCTCACCAGTATCAGTATTGCTCATGTAAAAGTGGAAGTTGACTCCACTAAGCCTCTGCCTCCGGTGCTTGAAGTTCTAAGGTCAGATGGATCAATATTTACTGTAAAGGTTGATTACCCTTGGGTGCCTCCGGTATGCTCCCACTGTCAAGAAGTGGGTCATATTATGAGAAACTGTCTTCTAGCTCCACCTCCTACTGCTGCTTCTCAACCTGCGCCTCCTCCTAAACCGTCTGGTCCTCAGGTTGTCCCTCATGCTTGTTATCTGTGTAAAGAAGTTGGTCATTTTATGAGAAATTGTCCAAAAGCAGAAAACCATTGGACCCCAGTCACTTCTAAAGCTAAGAGAAACTCTGTACCTGTTAATAAACTTGTTTCCCAGACTACTCCGACTTCTCCTATTGCTCAAAAGGGTTTGACTTCTACTTCTGAAAAGTCTGAAGCTCATGTGTCACATGTGGAGCTAGCTCCCATTGCTGTCAAGGATTCTCAGTTAGTAGAGACTATGGTGTTGGATATTTCTCCACAAAAAGAGACTATTCAATCTGTTGTTACCTCTGAGTCCCCTATTGCTGCTGGTTCTCCAATGGATGTGCAGGCAGATGATATTCTTCTGGATTGTGTGCTTGCTCTCAAAGCTGAGTTTGTGTCTCGCCCTATAGTGGTCTCGGACAATACCCTTTCTCTACCCTTAACCAATAAATTTGATGCCCTAAATTCAACCCCAACTTCTTTTAACCCTTTCATCCCCTCTAAGCCACCATACACCACACCTAACCCACCAAGCATTACCACTCCTACCCCAAACACAAACTCTTACTCAATAATAACCACTCAATCCCATTTGCTACCCTCATCCCCAAACACTAAGGCTCCTCCTTCTTCTCCTGGGCAGAGTCCTCTTTTTACCCAGAAAGAGGCTCATTCCAAAACCCAATGAGTCCCCATATATCTTTTTGGAATGTCCGTGGCCTAAATGACCCGGATAAGCATCGGCCTTTTGTTCAATGGCTATATACTAATCAGCCAGTTGTGGGTGCTATTTTGGAATCACACATAAAAGAACCAAGTTTGAATCAGATTATGCAAAAAGTTTGTCCTGGCTGGCTTTTTACCTCTAACCATGATACTGATGAGGATGGAAGGATGAAGGATCATAATTTTTTGGAAACCTTCAACTACTGTGCAAGTGCTCCATCAGTCTAGGCAATCAATAACCTGCAAAATCCAGATACATGCAGGCACAAGTTTTATTCTCACGGCTGTCTACGCTTCAAATCTCAGAGAGGAGATAACTTATCTGTGGGATGACCTCCATGAAATCCAGACTACTCTTTTCCTTGAAAATCAGAACTGGATTATTGGGGGTGACTTCAACCAGATCATCCATCATGATGAGCACTCTTCATCAAATGTCAATCACCTGACTACAGATATGATTGAAATGAAAGATCACTTATTATCTTTGGGTATCTTTGACCTCAGGTTTCAAGGGTGTAACCATACTTGGACGAACAACAGACCGGATGACCCTATCACAAAGAAGTTGGACAGAGTGTTAGTCAATGATAATTGGATCAGTAGTTTTCCAAACAGTTTAGCCTCTTTCTTACCCCAAGAATTCTCTGATCATACTCCTTGCCTAATTGATCTTTCTTGTCCTCTTCCTACTACTGGCACAAAGCCCTTCAAATTCCTAAACTTCCTTTCTGATCACCCACTTTTTCTCTCCCAAGTTGAGGCTGCATGGATTGAGAGTGGAGACAGAGTTTTAGATCTTTCACTGTTGGGGTTCAAATTGAAAATTCTAAAAAGAGTTCTAAAATCACTAAACAAAGAGAGCTTTTCAGATATTCAGAGGAGAGTGAGTGTTACTAACAGTTTGTTAAAAGTTGTGCAGGTTCAAGCTATAGATAATCCATCCTTAGACATTTTCCAAGCTGAAAGGGACCTCCACTCTAAATGGTTATTCCTCAGAGGAATTGAGGAATCTTTTTTCAAACAGAAGTCCATAATCAATTGGTTACACCTAGGGGACCAGAACACTACTTTCTTCTACAGAGTTGCAATGGCTAGAGCATCCTACAACTCCATCAGATCTTTATGCTTGGTTAATGGTTCATCTACTTCAGACCCGAAGGAAATGAGTGATATTGCGGTCTCTCATTTCCAGCAGATTCTTGCCCCTCAATATTTGATGCATATCAGTTCTCCTTTCTCCTGGTTTTTGGAGCTTCAAAGCTTTAACTGTAGTGAGCACCATAAATCAGTCTTGTCCTCCTTCCCTACAACTGCTGAAATCACAAGGACTCTACTCAAGCTGAACCCCAACAAGTCTCCTGGGCCTGATGGGTTTACTTCTTCTTTCTTCAAAGCTGCTTGGCCAATAGTTGGTCAAGAGGTGGTTTCAGCCATTCAA